AATAAAAGACCTCGGGGGACCTCACGCTTTTACTCGTTCTATACTTCATATATTGACCTCTTTAATCGTGCAATAATAGATACATATTTTTTAAATTGAGGTATAGTTGGTGTTAGAAAGGGTTTGCTCCCCACACTGGAGCTCGCGCTATTCCGCCGACTTTACTTGACACTTGACTGACTCACGACTGCCATCCAGAGCACACGAGAAGTCCATCGAACCTTCGACTTGGCAAACCTGCAAGAAAGCACCACTCCCTGCTCAATACACAGTGTTTCGGGGAATTCACCCCTCATCAGTTGAGCTTGAGTAGGCTGAGGAAGATTGTGCCTGAAGAGCACCACTTATATAGTGCTCTCCAGGCACAATCATCACCAGGGATACAAACTTACAGAGGCGCTCCATTTCTAGCGCGACAAACACCTCGTGAACACCAGATAGCAGCGTGAGTCAGTGTCGCTCCTGGACGGTGAGACCAGACGTTGAGGACCCTCGGTCATTCGCAACGCTGTCACCTCCAAACCAACTAGTCGCAAGCCCGCGCTGGGCACAACAGTACGAAGTAGTGGTTGCGACTTCGGCGATGATTTGTAAGAAAGGGTTTGCTCCCCACACTGGAGCTCGCGCTATTCCGGCGACTTTACTTGACACTTGACTGACTCACGACTCAGTCAAGTGTCAAGTAAAGTCGCCGGAATAGCGCGAGCTCCAGTGTGGGGAGCAAACCCTTTCTTACAAATCATCGCCGAAGTCGCAACCACTACTTCGTACTATAGTTGGTGTTCGTTCATGATGGAAGGAGAGGTGGAGCTACGGGAGAGATGAGCTGATTATTCGCAGGGTGAGGGTGACATGTCGGTTGGACGAGTATGACAATTACGAAGACAGTTGAACATGATAATTTTCAAAGGTAACTCAAACTGATTTGGCAATGAAAAAATATTATTACTGAAGTACAAAAGATAAATATGGTGGTAAAGACACACCTGGCAATATGGCGGAAAACACACGCCTGCCCACACACGCTCTCTAAGCTGCAAAGTAATTTAGTTCTGGCACAGAGCTCTCCTTCTCACCACCACCACCATCAGTTCGCGCCTGGCGCCTAGTCGATGCATGGTTGGCGGTATCCGACATAGCAGGCTGGTACATCAAGTAGTGCATGGCACATACAAGATGACACAGCAACGACATAGCTCGATTGCGACGTACGTTTCGTCCCCGCTGGACTCATCAGGCAATCTTCTTCTTGGATGTCTTCATACGGAGCTTGACTCGGGAGAATGAAGTTGAAGACACCACTGCAGCTGTACTTATGGTTGATAAATATGGTGGTAAAGACACACCTGGCAATATGGCGGTAAACACACGCCCGCCCAGACGCGCTCTCCCCGCTGGACTCATCAGGCAATCTTCTTCTTGGATGTCTTCATACGGAGCTTGACTCGGGAGAATGAAGTTGAAGACACCACTGCAGCTGTACTTATGGTTGATAAATATGGTGGTAAAGACACACCTGGCAATATGGCGGTAAACACACGCCTGCCCACACACGCTCTCTAAGCTGCAAAGGTCTGGCACAGAACTCTCCTTCTCACCACCACCACTACCATCAGTTCGCGCCTGGCGCCTAGTCGATGCATGGTTGGCGGTATCCGACATAGCAGGCTGGTACATCAAGTAGCGCATGACACATAGAAGATGACACAGCAACGACATAGCTCGATTGCGACGTAGATCTACGTTTCGTCCCCGCTGGACTCATCAGGCAAGTACAAAAGAAGTCAACTAATGAAATAAAGTAATGTTTTCCCTTTTCCATGATAATCTCCAGCATGCATGGACACCTTGGTATAGGGATACTCGTGTAACATTATTGTTGTACTTATGCCAAGTTATGGCCACTTGAAAGTACGAAAAAGGCACAATTTTCCGAACTTTGGGGCTCCATAAGTACAACAAAGTGCGTGTCAAAGCATAATAATTATTATGAATATGATGACTTTGCGAGCATAATGCGAGAATCCATGAAAGCATAATTCCATGATTTCGGGAGCATAATCCGACCGAGCCTATAATGAGTGGTCATCTCGGACAGGTTTACAGGTTTCATTGTACTGATTAGTTAGTGATATTTAGGCGCGGTTAATTAATGGTCAAACGCAGCAAAGGAAGAGTGAATGGCTTTGTGCGGGGGAAGTTTTCAACGTTACGACGTCCTATCATGAACGTCACACAGTATCAATTGCCGGAAAGTGAAAAGCTTGCCAGTTGAATTACATGTACATGACTTGAGGCAACTTGAGACTCATTTGTGCGATGGTGGTCGTATTTGACGCCAAGCAACTAATTACTTACGCAGATACCTAAGCTCCAAAGTAACAGTTCAGTTACCTGCATGTCGCCTTGTAGCCTTGTAGTTAATTGTAGGACAATGTACTGTCGTAGTCGGCACAGAATAATAATGCCCTTGAAAGTTGAAGTGACAAACAAGAAACATCCATGCGTCGTCTATTCACACCTCATTATCGCTGCAAACATGGTTATTTTGTGTACTGTAGACCGACCATGGTGTAGATCTACATACATGTAGTTCAGAACGAATACTACCCGTCGAATACTACCCGTCGAATACTACCCGTCGAATACTACCCGTCGAATACTACCCGTCGAATACTACCCGGTGGCGGTACATTGTAATTTGTAGTAGAATCTACTACAGTACTGACTGGGTCGCCGAAGAACTGGGGGGTCAGCCTCCTAGCCTAGTCCGTTCTTATTTCCATTATTTACATGTAGAGGAGACGGCTCGATACTGGGACGCTTTGACAGCCAAATTTGTATAGACCCAAACCGATCATCAGCGTTGATTTTTCACTCGAAATATGTTTGTGGAAGGAAACTGGCATGTTGAAGTTTGCACTGGGGCCAGAGTCAATCGAACTGAGCCACTCCTTTGTGTTGACCCATTGCCTCCAAGTTAGTTGCCCAATTTTTCGCTTCAAAAAAGTTCAAATCAGAGGTGGCTCCAAACCGGACACGTTTTAGAGTGCACGTCAAATTCACTCTGGGTCTGAAATTAGGTAATTGCTATCGCTCCACGACGGCCAGTACAGAGTAACAATAAGCCTTGTGTGTGCTTCCATTAGTTTTGATTGGTATGCGGTGCTTTATCGGCGAGAGGCGAGCCGCTGTTTACCTGCGACAAGAAGTTGATTTTTCGAAAGTCGTAAAACTCAAGTCGCAGTGCGAAGCAACACGTCAAAAACTCACCTGCTTGATATGGCGCTTCTGGTCATCGCAGAGCCATGAAATTTTGGCTCGGAGTATAACACATCGTAGTCTCACTGTGACATATGTCTTCTAATCAAAATACCAAGAGAGAAAGTGAATATTGAGTCCGTTCCGGTTTGCAACCTATGTCCTATTTGAAACCGTCCCCTCTACATAGATCTACACTGTACTACAAGTCTACAGCCGAGATGGGCAGTTGAGTCCTCGTGTATACATAACTCATTGGTATGCTGTGCTTGATGCATGCTAGCCTGGCCGCGGCCGTTCTTCGACGCCCGACAGTACTGTCTGTACCTGTCAAGTCTATCCTCGATTCCTCGGGCTGAATCTGTGATCACCATACATTACATGCCTAGATCATGACCTGACAGCAAAAGTCTTTGGAAAGGATTCCTAGCGTACAGTACAGTAATACAGTAATCATGGTAATAGATTGCGGGTGTTATGAATGCACTTTCGGCGAGCAGATGAAGAACAAGAAAGCGTGACACTCCAGGCGCGGAACTACAGGTATCGGCGTTTTGTCACATTACCAGTGCGAGTCAGGTGGTCGAGTGATCTCCTGTAGCCACTATCACATGGCTCAAAAGTATTTTTAGTATGGTCGTTTACATGGTTTAGATAATTAGCTCGGTCACTGGAGTCTGGTTCTTACTTGCATGCAGTAGAATATACTCCTACTAGCGGAGTAGTAGTAGACTACTCGGCTTCAGCAGTGCGCTGTCCCTTTCTTCGCTGACACTACCACACGGGATTTTGTTCTGTTGCTTGACCATGTTGACAGCTCCAACTACTACTGCTAGAGCTTGTAACTACTTACTCGTGTGTAACGAGGTTGTAATGTAAGGCGGCACTTACAACCTCTACGAAGGTCGATATCATATCCTACATATTATCCTTTGCGCATCAGGCCCGTGGCAAGTGGCAAGAAGTAGGTCCACATACAGGTTGTACCCGACCCTCACGACTATTCTTATTACAGCCTACAGACTACAGTACAGGCCGGGTGGGTACAGGTGGCAAAGCTCAGTCACAGTCAGTGTGTTACAATCTCTCGAAGTGTAACAGTGGCGTGTCTGTGTACTCCTACAAATGAACACTGCTCACTTACTACATCATGTAGTAGTGACCTGATTCAGTGATTGAGGAATAACTCTGTTAGTGTTACTATACTCAGCAGCTGATCAGATCAGCTTCACTCCGTGCCAGGTGACGGTTACCGGCTAGATGTACGGGTAGCATTTTGGTTTGGTGTTTTTCTGCTTTAGCGCGGGGAAAAACGTGGCGAAGAATAAAGAAGTTCACTTTTCATGGTCCTAAATCTCGAGCTGAGGAATGGATGGTTGGCGGGTAGCAGTAGCGGAAGAGAGATGCAAAGGCCATTGCCATTGGGCACCACAGATCACAAGTCAGTTGTCTTCAGGGTTATCTGTTGGACAACCTGGTTCCTCGTCTTGTCAATCGCCGGGTGCTCGTCTGTCAGCGGAATCTCACAAGTCACCCAAGCCTGCGTCGACAATGCTGTCGACGAGCAGATCAGCGGCGAGTTACTGCAGCCCGGGAGGCGGATACCATATTTTCGATATAATCTTGCTGGAAATCACTGCGTACAGGCGGATGCGGGAGCAGCAAGCTGCCGCCGCAAGCCACCGTCCCCAAAGTTTCTGCTTGGGGCCATGTTTCCTTTGCACCTTCGCGAGCCGAGCATGTCTTCCGACCCTAGAGACTGCACAGGGCTAGCCAGTCCATATGTAGTTGAGTTTGTAGAAGCAGTCAAGCTAGCTCTGCACGAGGCAGTGAATGACAGTGAAGTGGCGAGAGAGCTGGTTTCTGGCTTGGAGATCCACGACACCTGCTTCATGGCACAGGCAGCGTTCGATGCTGCTGTGTCCCTGGCGAAAAGATCCAACCTGGCCAGCTTGCAATGCCTTGGCGGAACTAAGGGTTACGGCGGAATTTTCCCAACAGGAGATGAAGAGATACTGGGGTCTGTGATCGGTCCTGGCCTCAGCTTAGAAGTGGAGACTGCGTCGTCTGTTCTAAACAGCTTTCAAGTACCACACATATCGTACTGGTCGACTTCCGACGTGTTCACACTCAAAACTGACTTTCCGTACCTGATTCGGACAACCACGGCGGACATGAACCAAGCCTACGCCATGCACGCCATCCTGAGGTACTTTAACTGGACGTACGTATCCATGCTATGGGAGGACGTGACCAGCAGCCGTACCAACCTGGCAGATCATGTGCGTGTGCTGGCCGGTCGCGACGGCTACCACGTTTGCTTTGCCCAGGACGCCGGATTTCACTACTCCGACAAGCGGCGGATTCGGTATCTGATTCTCCAGTGGTACAATGCGTCGCGTGACGGCTCTCCCACGCTGCAGGCACCCACTGTTGTGCTGCTGCTGCTCGGAGGCAAGTATCTGAGAGCGGTGTTTGATGGTCTGGAGCAGCTTGCAAAGACAAGTTCTGACTTTGCCCACTGGCTTAAGCACAGGCACTTTGTGTGGATTGCCAGCGATAGCTGGATAGCGGAGGCACCGCAGCTCGTGCACTACATGAAGCGTTCCATTCCAATGGGTAGCCACACTGTCCTCGGCACCACTCTACAAGTTCCTGAGTCTCTAGTGGAAGCGGAGACCTTCCAGGATCGCCTTCTCCAGCACTTTTCCAGGACGTATCCCACGAGAGACACGATTGCCCAGAACCCCTGGTTGGGTCGCGTGTGGCAAGAGCAGTTTGACTGCCGGCTGCCCTTCGTGAGCTGCCAACCGGGACAATGGTGCCACCAGCGTCGCACCTGCAACACCACCAAGTCCTTCGCCGAGGCGCTGTACATGCGACGGGAGAATTTCTCCACACCAATCGCATCCGGCGGGCTATGGATGGCCGTGAAGACCTCTGTATGGCTGCTGGAGAGGATGCAGGCATACATGCAGGCCCAGGCTGATGCCGGTGAGCCAGTACCGTATAGGCAAGCTATCAGGACAGTGCTGAGACAAGGAGATTGGGGTTGTAAGAACGTCAGTGGTCGTCTGCAGAACTGTGGCTTGTTTGAGGAGAATCATGACGTGCTGCCGACATTCAGAATCCAGGGGGTTGTGCGTAATGATGATGGTGAATGGGTGCTCCGGACACTGGCACGATGGCAGCGTCGTGCAGCAGAGAATGCCAACGGACCAGACTCGCTGTCAAGTGAGGACCTTGGCCTGGAGAGATTCTACAGAACATTGTGGGCAAACGGTGCCACGGAAGTGCCATTGTCAATCTGCAGCGCAACGTGTAACAACGGAAGCATCCAGGCTCCTGTTCAGGCTCGTAAGAACGAGCTTCGCCGTCCCGGACTGTGCTGCTGGTCATGCCAGTCGTGCACCAACAACCAGTATCACGACAAGAAGGAGGGGAACGTGTGCCGGCCATGCCCATCTGGCACTATAGCAGTGGATGAGAATACTCGATGCTGGTCACCTGATGCCTTCTACTTTGATCTGATGTCCGTGCCGTCCATAGCCGCCATTTCCCTCTCCGCACTGGTCATGCTGCTCCTGCTGGCGACGACAGTGGTCTATTACCGTCACCGGAATAGCAAAGTGATCACGGCTGCAGAAATCCAATCCAGCGCCGTGCTAATTGTGTCAGGCTTTCTGGGACTGGCAGCCACGTTTCTACTCTTCTTTGAGCCAGTCCACCATCTGTGCGTGATACGCAACATCTTGCTGTCGGCTAACTTCTCACTGTCGCTCACCACGCTAATCCTGCGAATGCTGCGCCACATATTCCTGTCGGATCAGAATAAAGTGCCAAAGTTCCTGTGCAAACTTGCCAGCGCCATGACGTGCACTGTACGCCGGCAACTCACGGTCCTGGCCGTTGCTCAGGTTGTATCACTTCCTGGTGTTGCTATCTACTGTATCTTCCTTGCTGCGGCCTCGTCACAAGTTCAGGTGGAGGAGCTACGTAAGGACATCTTCTGCGTCAACAATGGCAAAGACATGCTGTACGCAATGCCCGTAATGGCAGCGCTGGTGTTGGCCCTGGCCATCCCTGCCTTCACTGCACGCAAAGTAAAGATCGCGCAAACAATCCTGCTGACTAAGCTGCCCAACGAAGCACAACTGATGACCTTCGCAGCATGCTTGCTGATATGTATTTGGGCCTCCCTGATGCCTATCTCGTACATATCTAGCGGAATACTGGCCCCTGTGGTTACAAGCATCGCTGTCATTACGCACCACTTTGCCATCTGGGGAGCGCTTTTTGCTCCGCGGCTGTTCCTGATCTTGAAAGGCAGCCCATTGGAGTCGCAGTCCAAACTCCGCCGGGAAATGATACGAGTTGCAAACCTCAGCATGGCCCGGGCAATGGATGCATCAACCCTTGACCGAGAAAACCGCGGCAGGTCTGAGCTCTTCACACACGCCACTGATCTGTCCTTCTCCGCAGCATTACGTCCTATCAGCTCAACACCAAGCGGCTCCACCTCGACAGCGGAGAGAATTTCGGTCGATCAAGAACAGCTACGGTCGAGCGGTGAGCCACCACTTTACAAGAGACTGAGCCGGGGCCTTTCCGTTCAGTCTGAAAGATTGCCAGTTCTTGCACATGTAGACTCTACAGAAAAGCCGCCTCCGGAAATGATTGACACTGGTTTACAGGTAGGACCGCGTCATCATGTAGACTCTACTGGAAAGCCGCCCCCAGAAACGGGAATGGTTGACACTGTTATACAGTTAGGACCACGTCATCTTATGGTGTCATCTCTATAGTTATGCTGATGTTAGGCTGACATCGATTTTGAATTATTTTGAGACAGTCATTACCCGTCGGGCCCAGTTTCTAGCACCAGCTCCAGGATAATAGTTTGCGCTTTTGAGAGTTGCTAGAACTTCAACCGGACTGATAAGTGATAGCAATGTCGTTTGGACTGAGCGTGCCTTATGCTGTGTGTATGGTGGTATTTTGCAATAAATATTGTTCCTAGATGTTGATCTTGTTAGTGCTTTTTCGATGTTGATGTTCGCGCCGTTACCTAGTCAGAGTTGCCATGGTTACCTTGTTATTGTTTTCCTGCGCCACACTGCCAACAGATAATGTGATATTGGACCTGCCCGGTCACCTGATGTTTCCCTAGACAATAGTTCGAGAGAATACTGATCGCTCGCTACATCTTTAAGTTTTTAACCAGTGGACAGTTCTAACTGATAGAATCCATAATTACCATTCTCTATTTTTTATTTATTGATTTTTTTGAAGTAACATGATCATGTTGCTGGAGAATTCTGGTGAGTTGATTTGACAAAGCCAAACGCCTGTGCTTTTTTGGTATGCATGAGTGTTGCCGCACCAACACTGACTGACCGTGTTGCATGTACAGGACAGTGAGGTGGCAAGTCTCACAACCAATGCCATGGGCATGGCAGACACCTCGTCGCTATACATGTATGTAGGCGCTGCATCTAGGCTGCCACCCTGCCTGGTATACATGTACAATGTAATGATCAGGCAAGGTGGTGGCCTAGCACTTGCGAAACCTCCCTAATAAGTAAGCTGGTTGTGTTTCGCAACACAATAATTGTAAAATAGCCGGTGGTAATGCTAATGTGCCGCCTTCTTTTCACATGACCACACAGGACCACACAGGACCACGCAGGACCACACAGGACCCAGCTAAACCAGTTACAGTGTACCTCTACTCTAGTCGACTACAAAGACAATCAAAACCATGGATTCCAGTCCTGGCAAGAGAAATCCGACCGCATGATTATACATGTATTATTACTATTAAATGGCGCCGGGGACTAGTACGACAAGTATAGTGCTTTTTTTCTTTTCTTCTTTTTTTCTGCAAAAAAAACCACACAATCATACCATTTGACGGCACAGGGCAGGAAGGCAGCGATGAGACATATGCGATATGGAATGGCAGGAGTGGGGGAGAGGCAGGGCCAGCTTGACCGACCATAGGCATAGGGTCTCGGCTTCCTTGCAACCCAAGCGCTCCACAAAAACAAAAGATTACAGAAAATACGCAGGGGGGGGGGGTAATAATAATAATAATAATAATAACAGCTCGCATATACCCCATGGGTGAGATCACCCATGGGGCTAACGCATCTGTCGGCAAAAGAGTTAGAGAAAACGAGAAATACATGACATACACACCTTCTTCATTCTGTTATTGCAGGAAAAAAAACTACCTCGATTCCACCATGAGCCTAGGCATGAGGAATAATATTAAGTACAGAATGTTATTTACCAAAAGGATATTCAAGTAAGCGCAGATATTTTTTTAGCATGATATTAAAGTTAGTACATTGATTCACAATGCCGAGCCAAGCTTCCCTGTCTTGGGAAATAGCTTCCGCTTCGGCAATGGAAACGTTTATTGTCTTTAAGTCATTCTTGATGTTGTCGATCCATCTGGTGACGGGGCGTCCCCTGGGCTTCTTGATGTCTTTGGTGTCGATTGAAAGTCTTAGAGCTTTGTAGGATGTCGAGTCACTGCCTTCTCTGATTACATGGCCGAACCATAACAAGCGCCGTTCCCTGCATGTTCTGGTGATAGGCAATTGGTTGGACAGCTTGTATAAGTTTTTATTCGATATTTTTTGGGGATAGATACACTACGCCGAGAATGGATCGTAGTTTGTGGCGATGCCATGTGTCGAGCCTGTTGCCGAGTGCTGCTGTCAAGGTCCACAGACCACAGGCCACAGTTGTATAGTAGAACCGGAAGGATAAGTGTGGTAAACGTAAGCATTCTAGATAACAAAGTGTGTCTCTTCCAGGCTATAGTGCCAAACGCTCGGTTAGCGGCATTGATACGGTTCTCGATGTCACTTCCAGATCCCAAGAGACTTCCAAGTAGTTTCGTCTTTCTCCATGCGTCATCATCCTTGGAAGGAGTTACAAATTGAGTTTTTGTTAGATTTAATCTCAGGTCATCCTGGGCGAAAATTGGCTCTCATTTCGCTGCAGCGGCCACCACAGCATCACGATCAGTGTCATGTATTGTGGTGTCATCTGCATACTGTGAGAAATGAGTAGGCAGGCATGAAGGGGAGGTGCAGGCTGCTCTCACCTGCCTCATCGCACCTTCTGCGTAGACAATGAACATGGCCGGAGACATCGGGTCCCCCTGAACCACGCCGATATCGGTCGAGAAGGGAGCACTGAGCTGCCCAGCAATCTTCACCCTAGCTGTCGTATCGGAGACTAACAATTTCATCATTGAGGTGGGTGCACCCGAATCGGCCATTCGATCGAGCGCCTTGCCACGGTTCGCTGTGTCAAATGCACCGCTGAAATCGAGTAATGCTGCCGAATAGTTCCAATTTCCGAGCAAAGCTCTCTCACAGAGACCTCACACAGAACACCCTATCAGCTGTCGAGCGACCTGGTCTGAAACCGGCTTGTGACTCATCCACAAACTGCTGAATATTGGTGCTAATTCTCTTTGTGATTATGGTTGTAAGGACTTTCCGAACCACTGACAATAGCATTACTGGTCTGTAACTCTTCGGGGCTCCTTTCGGTTTGCCATTTTTGTATATTGGCACAATAATTCCAGTAGTCAGGTCTGCTGGGCAGTGCTGTAATTGGCGAATGACATTGAAAAATGAGGACAGCCAACCAGCTAGAATGTCAGAACCTGCACGCAGCACCTCACTGCTAATTCCATCCTGACCGACTGCTCCGCCTACTTTTTGCTTCTGTATCGCTGCACGAACGTCTTCTGTTGAGAAAGGCTCATCATCCCTGACACCAGTCGCCGGCTGATGAACCGGTTTGCACGGCATGCTGGAATCGTAGAAAATTGATGAATAATATTCACCAAATTTCTGGAGGTTCCAACCAATCAGCCAGTTGGATGGGTGGTGCATTGTCACCCGCTCTCAGTTTTCGTAGGTTGTTAATTGCCTGGAAGTAAGACCTTGGGTCAGGCCTAAGTGCATCGGCGTCCTTTGCCCGCTTTTGCCAGAGGAAGTCGCCTTCCTTCCGCAGGATGGAGCGCATTTGGTTGGTTGGTTGGTATATTTTATTTTACTTCGCCAGAATGAACAGGCATTGCTGCCTTCTTGCCTGGACAAGTGGATTGTCCAAGCTCTCACAAAAAGACGAAGAAAGGAAAGAAATATTACATGAGAGTGTGAAGCATGCAATCTTATAAAATAAAAAATAAAATAAAAATTTCCATGAGAGTGTGACGCATGCATGATGAGAGAGGAGAGATAGATATAGATAGAGAGAGAAAGAGAGAGAGAGAGAGAGAGAGAGAGAGAGAGAGAGAGAGAGAGAGAGAGAGAGAGAGAGAGAGAGAGAGAGAGAGAGAGAGAGAGAGTCTGCTTTATTTCCTGGACAAGTGAACTGTCCAAGCTCTTACAAAATGACCAACAACAACAACAACAGCAACGGCAACAACAACAGCGACAGCGACAACAACAACATACCAACAACAACAGCAACGGCAACACCACAGCAGCAGCAACAACAAGAGAGAGAGAGAGAGAGAGAGAGAGAGAGAGAGAGAGAGAGAGAGAGAGAGAGAGAGAGAGAGAGAGAGAGAGAGAGAGAGAGAGAGAGAGAGAGAGAGAGAGAGAGAGAGAGAGAGAGAGAGAGAGAGAGAGAGAGAGAGAGAGAGAGAGAGAGAGAGAGAGAGAGAGAGAGGGAGAGAGAGAGAGAGAGAGAGAGAGAGAGAGAGAGAGAGAGAGAGAGAGAGAGAGAGAGAGAGAGAGAAAGAGAGAGAGAGAGAGAGAGAGAGAGAGAGAGAGAGAGAGAGAGAGAGAGAGAGAGAGAGAGAGAGAGAGAGAGAGAGAGAGAGAGAGAGAGAGAGAGAGAGAGAGAGAGAGAGAGAGAGAGAGAGAGAGAGAGAGAGAGAGAGAGAGAGAGAGAGAGAGAGAGAGAGAGAGAGAGAGAGAGAGAGGAGAGGAGAGAGACGCTTTACTACCTGGACAGGGAATTGTACAAGCTGTCACAAAATGACCAACAACAACAGCAACAACAACAACAACAACAACAACAACAACAACAACAACAACAACAACAACAACAACAACAACAACAACAACAATAACAACAACAGAGAGAGATAGATAGATAGAGGGAGAGAGAGAGAGAGAGAGAGAGAGAGAGAGAGAGAGAGTGTGTGTGTGTGTGTCAGAGACACACAGAGAGAGAGGGGGGGGGGGGGGGAGGAGGAGAGATATGCGGATTGTTAAACTGGATTTCGACATGAAGTTAGGTACAGAGAATGTTAATATGGGTAAAGCATTTCATGGAGAAGTTTCGATCTTTGAGTTTGCAAAGACGACCGCTTATCGATGTCTGTTGTAGCTGTAGGGGGGGGGGGGGTAGGCTTTCCCCAAATCGGCCCGTTTTTCGCCTATCCAGCTTTTCGCTCGGCTCAAAAATACATCAGATTCGGCTGCAAAATCAGCTGATTGTTCGAAAATCGGCTGCAAAATTGGAATATATTGGAAAATCGGCTAAAAGAATTGTTGGCATATTGCCATTTATGATTATTGGGTGAGATATTGGAAGATTTGGTAGATTTTCGGCGATTCTCAAAGAGAGTTAGAGCTTTTTTGGTCTTTTTTTTCTTTGGTTCATAGCCTGTCCGTTGCCCACTCCTATAGTAGGTCTACAGGTATCATTCAAATGAATAATAATCATCAAGAGTACAACATACATGTGCTAGGCTCGTAGTAACCCATGGGGGTTACATGTACATGTACATGTAACCCCCATGGGTTACATGTACAGTCAT